CTGAGAGTCACACAAATAAATAAGGCCACGTGGAGGGCTGGGGACAATAAATTAAGGAGTGTCGTCGCTGCACAGATGAGACCTGGGATCCTCGAAGGCGCAGCAGGGTGAGGGTCAGACGCACAGGTGTCCACTGGCCACACACTTCAGGTCGCGCACCAGGAGGCGGAGGAGGTTGAAGGTGACGGAGGCCTGGAGGCAGGCGGGGGACTCCTGTGGGGACAGGGGCTCAGTGGCTGCCGTGGCCAGGCCCAGCTGCTCCACCTCCGTCTTCTGCCACCCACTCACCTTCTCGGGGGCCTGCTGCAGCCTCTGCAGCCAGTGGGACAGGCGGTGGCGGTGGCGACCCTGGGGCCTGGGGCCTGCCGTGGGCTGAGCCGGGGCCTGTGGGCAGAGGAGGGCGTGTGAAGTGGGCCTGGGCACAGGGGACAGGCGGTGTCACAGCCATGGCCCAGCCGCCCAGGACCCCAGGACGCACACAGGCCTGTAGCTGGGACTGGATGTGGCCCAGCGTGTGAAGGGGCTGGTCCAGGACGTCCCCCAGGGTCGAGTTGGCCATGGTCCCCAGGACCCGCAGCGTCAGGGCCAGCTCTGCCTGCAAGGCCACAGGGCGCTCCCACACCTGAGGGCACAGAGACAGTGAGAGGTCTCCCTGAGAGAGAGCTGGGAGGGGACAGGGAGGGAGGGAGGGAGAGGGAGGAGGAGGGGCAGGAGGGGCACAGCAGTGCAGGCAGCAGGACTGGGGAGGGACAGTGGGCAGGGAGGGAGAGGGACCGTGAGAAGGACAGGGTCCCCTGGGAGGCGCCCAGTGGGCCCAGGAGGCCAGGCTGGCCTGGCTCTGCCAGCTCACCTGCAGCTGCCGCAGGTCCCAGGGCCTGGGGAAGAGCGGGGAGGGGCAGTTGTGGTCCTTGGGCAAGTGCGAGTCCTCCTGGGGAGCAAGGGCACAGGTTAGCCCACACTGGAGGGCGAAGGCTGGACCACAGCAGGGGCCTGGAGGGGCCAACAGTAGGAAGAGGGCAGGGTCCCTCAGGGAAGGGCAGGCTCCCTCCAAGAGAGACCTCAGGGCGCCCAGAGCAGCCAGAGCGGGAGGGAGCCCAGGGAGGACAGGGCAGAGGCCAGTCCTGCAGGGAGGCTGAGGGCCACCCATAGAGCTGCACGGGGAGGCCCAGGGAGGAGGCCGGGGCACAGGCAGGAGGGACAGGGACACTCACAAAGGCGTCTCTGGCCTTCCTGAAGGCCTGTAGCTCCTGAGGGGCCAGAGTCTTGAACTGGGCCATGTCACAGTCCCTGGCATCTGGGTGGGCGCTGAGGGCACTGGGCACAGGAACTGCCCGTGTCCTTGTCAGCACCGCAGCCATCAGCGTCAGGAGGAGCGAGCAGCCTCCAGCTTCGCCTGGACCACGAGAGGACAGGGTCAGGGGCTGGGGATGCGAGGACAGAGGGGGGACTGGGGACGGTGACCGGGCCATGCTGTGGGGCTCACCCAGCTTCATCCTCGGGTCTGGTGGCCGTCAGTGATGGGAACACAGGGTGCACCTGCGTCTGTGTCCAGGCTCTCTCCCGAGGTCCTTGGGTCTGGGTGCTGCTGTGTCCCCAGCTTCTGTCCCTGTGGTGCAGGGTGGACTGTCCCTGCAGCTCCATGGGGCAGCTTTTATCCCTGCTCAGGGCAGCCCCAGCTGATGTAGGAAAAGCGAAAATGCACCCAGGCCTGCGCTGGCCACCAGGGGAGCCCGGGCTGGGGAAGCCCGGGGCGGGGCCTCGCACAGGTGAGCAGCTGAAGCGAAAGGGAAAGGGACAGGACTCAGCCTGGCCACTGCAGGAGACTCCCAGGAACCCTCAGCCCTGGGGCGGCCCCGGGTCACAGGAAGGGGTTCCGGTGCCTGCTGGGAGGGACCCAGGACTGGGGTGCACAGAGAGATGGGGACCAGCCTTGGGCAGGGTGTCCCCTGCAGGGAAGAAATGGCAGGGCACCCCAGGGAGTGGCTGCCCTGAGGACTGCAATTCCCAGAGGGGGAGGCCCAGGGCGGAGGCTGTGGGCGGGAGGGTCAGGAAGGGAAGGTCCAGAGTGAGGAGGCCACAGCACCCCACCCCTCCCCCCCTGCTGCCCAGAGCAGGCCAGGGACAGAGCCTGGAAAGAACTCGAAACTGTGCTTCCAGGCACTGCACCTGTCGGGGGCAATTGGCAACTGGGCAGCTGCCCTGTGCTGTGTGAAGTAACAGAAAACAAAACTGGAGAGGCAGGGGCACAGCAGGGCGGGTGCAGCAGGCAGGTCCTGAGGAGAGGCTGTGAGCACAGAGCCAGGGGAATGAGGGCCGGAGCCCACACAGGGAAGGAGAGCCACCCCTTCTGCTGAGCCCTGTCATGTCCAGCTCTGCTCCAGGTGCTTCATCTCACCTGGCACTGGACATGCACTCTCCCAACCAGGGAGCACTGTGGCTTGCCTCCTTTTGCAGTAAGTAGCAAACTGTAGAATCTCAGAGAGGTTAAGAGACCTGCCTTAGGACACACAGCAAGGAAGCAGTGAGGTCAAGACTGAGTGTTTCCTCTGACATTTGGAGGTCAATCTCAGTCTCCATTGTGCTGGGGTCTCCTGGACCTAGAGCTCATGACTGTGAGAAAAGACAGTCCTCTGTGACACTTGCCTCCATCCCAAACCTATGTCCCTCATTCACACTTCCAGGAAATGTCTACACAGTCCAACTCTCTGAGCTCTGATTCATACAACTGCTTCCAAATCAGAGCAGGACGTGCCCAAGGCACCTCCCAGTTCAGTTTCCAGTACAGGAGCCTTAATCCTGCCCCAGGAGACACTGTACCCACTCAAATCTGCACATTGTCTCAGATTGCAAATCCCTCGGCACCACACTGTTTTTGTCTGTGTGAGTGTGAGTGTGTTAGTGTGAGTGTGCGTGTGTTAGTGTGAGTGTGCATGTGTGGTGTCGGGAGGGGACCCAGGGCCCTGCCCGTGCTGGTCACTGCTCTGCCACTCTTCACATGCCCTGTCCTTTGCTGGACAGTCCGCCCAGGCAGTGCCCTGCAGTCGCTCTGGAGCTTGAGGACTCTCGGCTTCCATCCTGGCTCCAACCTCAGGAGCCGTGTGGCCTTGGGGAGGAGGCTGAGGTGGCCGCCAGGGGGGCTAGTCCCCTGGTTTGGACCAAGCGCACTAACGCGAGGATTCCTGTGCCTATGCGCAGGCTCCTTGGATGGAGGTCATTTGGGAAGCCCCGAGGATGTCAGCAAGGACCTCCCCAACGCCACTCCAGGTGTGCGGCTCCTCTGCAGGAGAAGCAGCCGCCCTCACTGTGCAGAGGAGACTGAGCCCCCAGAACTCCCTTTCCTGGAGTCACTCTCACTGAATGGCAGGGGCAGAAGTGACACTCTTGTCCCCTGATTCCCTGGATGGGCCCTTCTTGCTGTGGAGTTTAGGTTCAAATGAAAACAGAAAGGAAAAGATGCGAAGGCCACACTGTTCAATAAGTGTAATAAATTAACATCAGCAGTCAGAAGAGCAAATCTGGGATTTCACCAGTACAAGAGCACGTATGTAACAGAATCCAGGGACGGTCGGTCATCCAGGACCCTGTGCCCTTCACTCCCTAAGTCCCTTAGGGAACGGGCTGTTTGGATGCTGATGGGATCCTCATGGATTCACAGAGTCTCAAGGCGGCCATCCAGAGTGCCAATCAAGGGACATGATTCCTGAAGAAGGTTGAGATTCCTGGCAACCCCAGCGTCAGGGTCACGAGGGTCTGAGCAAGGCTCAAGGCTGTTTTGTTGCATTGGCCCTGGAGGAGCTCCCAGCACCACAGGGACCTGAGTCCTCTCTCTGGGAAGAGTGAGGCTCTTCTTGCACCTGTACAGGTGGAGCCAGGTGCAGCCAGTGTTCGAAGACTGTCTGGAGCCTCATCGTCCACTGTCCAGGAGACACACATGGTCCAGGGTCCAGCCGCCAATGGCATGGAGTTGGGATGCCCGCGAAGCCCAGCAGGTCAGACACAGGGTCCCGAGTGCGCCACCAGCCTGAGGTCCCGCGTGAGCAGGCGCAGCAGGTTGAAGATGACAGAGGCTTCATGGCAGCCAGGCGAGTCCTGGAACCCGGCAGGAGTCAGGACTGTCCTTCCCCAGGACCTCTGGACAGGGCCCTGTCGCCCCCAGGCTCCTCCTTATCCTTCCACCCGCTGCTGTCCCCTGGGTGGGAGCCCTGCGCCTCCCACTGCACTCACAGCTCTGCGCGGTTTGTGATGCCTCCGCGGTGGCCTGGGGGACTTCCTCCTGGAGCCCTGCGGGATCAGCTGGAGCTGCAGGGGCAACGCGGGTCAGTGGGACAGCCGCCCGCCCCAGCGTCCCTCCTAACCAGACCCAGACCCAGACCCAGAGTTCGTGGGCGCCAGGAGGACGAG